ACTTTAGTTATTATTCTTCTCATTTTTATTTTAAAAATAACTCAAAAACCAAATTTATAAAATTGGCCTTTAAGTTAAGAAGGAAATATTGAATGCCATGTAGGGTAAGTGAGAGCATGCTAATGAAAACAAATATCAACATATAAAACTATTTCAACATAACTTACAATAATAAAATAAAAAGGAAATAAAGTTTGGTCCTCGAAGTATAACTTACGAGCCTAGAATAAAAAATTGTTATGAAAAAGAGTGAAAAACCCAAGTGTTTGTTGTGTAGTACAGTAATTATGTGAAAAGAACTAAAGTTAGGCCTCATTTGCTAGAAAGTGATTTTTAAATTGGTTAAAAGTGAATTGTTTTATAATGTTTAGCAGTATTATAAAAAATAAATTAAAAAATATTTTTTAATATTTGATTATATCATATAAAATGAGCTGAAAAATAATTTATTATTTTTTAAAAAATTATTAAAATAATAAGGATCAAATTTGACAAATAAAAAAATTATAGTGATAGAATTGAAAAAAAATTAATTTTATAAATAAATAATTTCAAATAAAACAAATAGTAATGAATAGAATTAGCATTAAATCTCACATATAAATTTTTTTAAAGATAATGAAATTATAGAAAAAAATTAGATTTCATAAATTATTTCAAATAAATTAAATTACAATTAAAAAAATAGAAATAAATCTAATAAATAAATAAAAAATAATTAAGAAAAGACTAAGATAAAAAATAAATAAACATTAAAATTAATATAAAAATTAAATATTAAAAAACAATTAAAAAAATCAACCAAAATATATAACAATACTAAATCTAATATAACTCTCCTAAGAAGCTCAATTTCAGAGTGTCAGAAGTGGGATTTGAACCCACGCCCTCTCACGAGGACCAGGACTTGAGTCTGGCGCCTTAGACCACTCGGCCATCCTGACATTGCTGAGAGGGCAATGCTGTAAAATAATTATATAGTATATAAGCATGAGCGATTTCTCGGTTTCAGATTTGAACCCTGACTGCGCACATGCTTTTGACGTAGCGGCACTGAAATAAGGTAGACGAAGCACGAACACACGTGCGAATCCTTTGCACAGTTCGAATTAAGAATGATAATTATAGTTTTTATTTTCCCTCCTCTTTTATTTTCTATAATTATAGTTTTCATTTTCTTTCTTAATCACATTCTCTTTTAATTATAACTTGGATGTACGGCACTGATTTTATCCAACGAAAATACTTCAAACAGAATGGTAAATAAATAACTGAAAATACAAACAAATTTACTGTAAGGTAATTGTGTTTTAAAGTATGATTACAATTATTTTTTCAAGTATTTTTTTACTTGGAAATATATTAAAGTAATTTTTTTATTTTTTAAATTATTTTTTAATTGAAAATATATCAAAATTTAATTCAAAAATATATAAAAATTTTATTTCAAATTTAATTGCACAGGATAATATATATATATATATATATATATATATTTATTTATTTATTTATTTTGTTTACCAAATATATTGCTGCTGTTTCTTTAATTGCTAACGCAAAAGCTAGCATAAAATCTTAATGTCTCAGGTCTATCCGCGCTTCACTTATCAAACAGCTGTTTGTTTTAAGCCTGTTATTTCAAATTACTTGATTGCCAAATTACTATTATGAAAAATTACCCTCGATCTCCAAAGCGGTGGTAGCCTTAAAAAATAATGCTTTGCATACCGAGTTAGGCTTTTTGGTCAAAGAAAAAGAAATTTCAAAAATGCTATTATAATTTATATTATGTTAATGTGCTTTTATAAATAAAGATATATTACAAAAACCTTGTTTTTCTTTTATGTAGTGTTATATCTTATTCTCAAACATGTCAATAATAAATAAATAAAATATAACCATCTCCATCAAATTTTAATATTAAAACACATTCTTTAACAAATCACAAAAGACTCAAATTTATAAATAAAAAAAATATTATAACACAAATTATAAAACTCAAACTAGCTCAAAAACTTAAAAGTATTGTGTAGAACCTGATCAAACTAGGACTTGTATCAATTCAAGTCGAAAGGAAAGTAAGGAAAAGTATTAACCCAGCCTAACCCAGATAAAAATTCATAATCTGATCAATCCAGTTTATAATTTAATCAAAACCTTGATCGAATCACAATACATTTTTTTATTTAATATTTATAAGTTTCATTAACAATATAACATGACTTAATGTTTAACACTTTGAAGATTTTTTCAAATTTTCTCCACAAGTTTCGTAGCTATCAAAACACTGCCATTGTTATAAGAAAACATTAAGATGCTAAAAAAAAAAAAACCAAGATTCAAAACAAATAGAAAAGAACCCTAAACGTCACAAATTCAAGAACAACAAAGTATCCAAGTGTCATGGAAGAAGAGAGGAAGTGTACCAAGGTTACTGAGATAAGTTCTTCGATGGCGAGAAGAGTTTTGAAAGCTAAGGAGAAGAAGCAGCTGTTGTAAAATAAATTCATAACCCTACAAAAGAAAGTAGATGTTGTTTACATATAAATACATATAAGTGGGCTGATTTGGCAAGGTTGGTTTCATACGGACTTGGACTTACATTTGGGCTTGTAGCTTGTCATTCAGTTTATTAGGCCTGTGAAAGCCTCTATATATTTTTTTGTGCTCTCAATTAGGGATCTAGCTATTGTCCTGGATTCGATCACTATGAAGTTTTATAACTACGTGTGTGAGTTGAAAAAAAGGGAAGGGGAGAGAAAGTTTTGGTTCGGTCATATTTTTACCATAAAAAAACTAATTTTAGTATTAATAAATCTATATTGGAGACGAGGTTTTAGTATTAATAAATCTATATTGGAGACTCATGCAACCTTTAACCATGCTAAAAAAATATAACAAAATTCAAAATAAATAAATCTAGTTTGATTTTAGGCTTTTCAACAATTGTAGAGTTTTTTTAAGTTAAAAACAAGATTATTAAGGTTTTTACTTAATATATATTAAACTTTGAGTTTTAAATATACAAAAACTAGGACACTAAATCTTTTCTGATTGAAATTTTTTACAATATATAACATGTTGTTTGTTCTATTAAAAAAATATATTGTTTGCTCTTTTAAAAATATTATATGCACTTAGTTTTTTTTCTTTGAGGGCAGGCACGCAGGCCCATTTTTTTTTAAATAGTCCTTTAGTTTTTTTTTTAAAAAAAGTTTAGAATAAAATTATTTAATTAATATTTTTAAATATATGATATTTTTCTAAGAGTAAGATTGAAACTCGGCAATATTAACAATTACTTTATGGATAATTATATATGAACTTAAAATGTATAATTATTTTAAATTTACTCATAAATATTCAATAAGAATAAAATATCTATTTTTAATTTTATTTTATTTTTAAAAAAACACTATTAAATAAATTATTCTCCTATTTTTTGTACGTTTGCTTGAAGATTATTATTTTTTAATTGATACTTGCTTTTTTAATCATTGTATGTTTTTATTTTAAAAAAATAACCATGATAAAAAAATATTTTTATCAAAATAAAAAATAAATACATGAACAAGAAAATGAAAAACTAAAAAATATAAACGTGTCGATATAATGGGACGAGGAATTACTATGATGTTGCCCACGAAATTAATTGTTTGTCAAGTATTTGATTTTTCTTTAACGTGACGCAAAATTAAGAGATGTTTCAATAATGTTCTAATGAAGACTAATGTTATTAGAAATTCCTTGGCGAGAAATCTAAACTGTTGCACAATTATCACCGTTGTATAAAGAAAATCCAAAAAGTTCAAAGAAAAGAATTCTATCAAATTAAGGAGTATTGTATGGTGGGAACTAGCAAATATTTGTCATCCTGAGAAGAACAGAAGAGGGATGAAGGAAGGAATGCTAAAATCACATAGCAGAATATAATCTAGCTACAATATATTTCTTCAAGAATTATTTTTGAGTTAATTTATCTCACCAGCTTCTACAAAAGCTTGGAAATTAACTTGAAACAAACGACTAAGGGTTTCAAGACCTTTTGTTTAACAATATTTATGGAACGAGCATATATATATATATATATTGCAAACGTTCGTTTTGCATGGTTGTGAATAATTAATACTCGTGATGGGAAATATCGAAACTTTTTATTTTTTTTGGTTCTTTTCCCTCTCCGCAGGAGGAACTGCGGGACGGGAAAACATGGAATATGCAAATTCTGTAATGAAGGCATCGCAAGCCACAAAAAGATCCCGAAGTGTAGATGACCACTCTAGCTTAGCTTGTCTGAGCTTCCTTCTGGGTTATGTTGTCATTAATTATAAACTTCTCTGGTGCTTTAAAAAAAAAACCTTCTCTGCTGCATTAAGCAACATGCATGCAGTTTTCAGTATTAACATTTTATAAAAATTAGGATCATTTGGCAGGCACGCATTATTTACTAGATATATGATATATGGGATTAACTGGTGATATATAAACTCAAGGGAATTCTAATTAATGTAAACCTATGCATTCCCAATAAATTAACAAACGTGATTCAACACAGAAAACAAGTAGAACTAGACTTACCTCTGGCATGAGATAACAAGCAGTACTGCCCCCCCCTAGCCAGCTCTTCATATTATAATAAGCCGAAGAAGTCAGAGGGCAACTCTCCTTTGGCGGGTAACTGAGTACTAGATTAAAGCTATAAGTTGTAATCTATACCATCACCTGCCAAAGAAGAGAAGCCTTTAACTAGTTCACTTAAGGATTTTTGCACTTTTTGGAGAGCATGACCATCACCTCTGGGCTATGGTTATGCAGGCAATGCACCACGAGGGATTTATAAGTGCTTGATCGTGGGGTTCTAAGGAATAAACTGTTGAATAAATAGCATATGCTATGTGGATATCCATATTGTGGTGCCTGGTTTCTACGCGTTCCATACAATGATCCTTTTATCTGAAAAGTCTATTACACAAAGTAGTGCTCGAGTGATTCTACTTGCATGATTTAGACCCTTCTGTATTATGCTGATCTCTCTCTCTCTCTCTCTCTCTCTCTCTATCTATCTATGTATCTATCTATATTGTTTTGAAGGTGAAGGGAAGAGTTGAAAAGGCAATGAAGAGGAGAGAGATGCCGTCCTTCGCCTAGGAAGGTGGCAGCAAAACCTGGGCCTGAAAGGTATATCCTGTGTCATATTCTTTCTCATTTTCATTCACCTTTAATGATTTTTGTTTCTGTGGTATTTCTTTTTCTTTTCACATCTAAACATTGAAATATCTTGGATTAGATTTCCATCTTCGTCCAATCAGAGTCCAGAAGGGGAGGTGAAACTATCTTCAATATTGCCTGTCTTCCATGTGTCTGGCCTTAGGAGAACTCTCTCTCATTTTTATAAGGCAACATATCTTTCTGTATCCAACTAATTGGAAAAGAACTAGATGCGTCATACTGATTGCTTTGGTTTTCATTGGTAGAAAAGTTTGTGTTATATGATCTGTTCTCTTTTTGTTTGATTAATGCTTGCTTCGGCTTGCCTTGGTTGCATAAGTGATAGTTATTCTTTCTGGCCCAAGTAAGCATTTCAGATACAAAATGCAAAGAAGTGATATAAAAAAAATTACAAAATTCAAATTAAGGATAGATTGTCGGCATTTAACATGCAAAACCCTAGACAGAAATAATGCTTCAACTTTAATATCTGATCAGTTTCCCTGCCAATAAAAACCTCTGATAATCAGATTCTGATCGTCTTTTCTCTCTCTTTGTTCTAGATGGTCTCCTACTTAATTTGACAGCTGACCTTCTGTTGCAGATCTCTCCCTCAAAGTACTGACTCCCATGCATGTACCTGTAGGAAACCAAAACCCCATCACATTGGCTCATCAGATCATATCCACGCATGGTCCATTTTTAGTTTTTACTTGTCTCGTAATTTATTTCCACAGTTTAAAAGTCGTTTAGTAGATTCCATTAACAGTTTTGTGAATGCTTTTTTACATGTGTAAATGCAAGAAAAAAGAGAGGAAGAATTTGATAAAATGAAGATAGCATTGAAGTCTTGAACAAAGATATTAGTGGTGCTGTTGGAGTTGACCGAACTGCACCTGCCAATAAAAACTTGTAGCGCCAAATTATTTCTTGAGCAAATGACAAGGTATAATTAGAAACTTCCCCGATTTTCAACCAAAAAAAAATAAAAATTAGAAACTTCTTGTTTCAAGGATTTCAGAAATTATTGATAGGCCCACCAACCCAGGTAGGTTTAAGGGCTAAGAACAGGACTAATTTAGCCCCAGAAGAATAGAAAGCCAGGCAGGCTTAGAATTCTAATCATATTCATGTGTTGCCTCAGGAATTGGAGTGATAAAATGGGCCAGATGTAGCAGCCCAATGAAAAACTTTAGATAATACTATAAAGTTATCCCAGGTCAATAATTTTCTAACATTGAAAAAAAAAAAGCTTAGAAGATGATAGTGTTTTTAAATTAATTAGAAGAATCTGGAACCTAGAAGTTAATATGAATAAATTCAATAAATTTGATTAATTAAATAAAATGAGTATTAAAAAATATAATAACAAAATGAGAATTAAAATTGATATAAATATAAATTAATATGATACATTTAATTTTTAAAAAAACATGAACGAAACTTAATGTGATGAGAAGAAAAAAAATTCCAACAGGACCAATTGTTATGCCGTCGTGTACACATGTTTACTTATATAAAAAAAATGTCAGAATGCTTTTAATGTTATTGTCAAAGGTGGTTTTTAGCTACCAAAAAATATTTGACGTGTTGTCCAAAAAAAAAAGATAATTTTATAGGAAAAATTTTAAAAAATTTTAAAATTTAATACTTAATAAATTTAGTGGTAGAAGATAAGATTAAAAGGGAAAAAATAAGTTTTAAAAAAAATCTTAAGAAATCCTCGAAAATTTTAAGGACCATAATAGAAAAAAAACCTTAATATTTTACAGTGCAATAAAAAACCAAATTCTTTTGGTATATGTTAATAATAATTTTATTCTTTCTGTAAAATGTATATATAGGCAGGTTTGTCTTCGGAGAAAACATCCCATGGTCTCATCGAGGAGAACCAGCGAAATCTTCCCCGCTTGCAGCTTCGATGTAGTTACCCAACCAAATTCAGTGACGCCAACAACCTGGCATGAGTTGGCCAATCATGGGCTGACACAACACAACTGCAATAATATGGACCCCAAACTGGTCAGAAGGGCCCACTCCCTCAACATCGAGAGTTGTAGGCTTTCGAGTGCACTCAGATAATATGATAATTTCATTTTTGGATAGGCTCTCTATATGCCACCACTCCATGGGCCACTCGTTTGGTCTTGCTGTTCAATCGCCACCACTCCATGGGCCACTCGTTTGGTCTTACTGTTCAATCGCCAATAATAATAATAATAATAATAAAATCATCTAGGTGATGGTCAAGTGGTTAATCGCCAGTAATAATAATAATAATAATAATAAAATCATCTAGGTGGTGGACAAGTGGCAAGAATTTGGGATCAAGAGGTTTGTTTCCTCTGTGGTCTCAGATTCGAGTCCTTAGTTGCTCATATGATGGCCACTGGAGGCTTATATGGTCGTTAACTTCAGGGCCCGTGAGATTAGTCGTGGTGCGCGCAAGCTGACCCTGACACCCACGACCCGGACACCCACGTTAATCTAAAATAATAATAATAATAATGACTTGGGATCAAGGGGTTTGCTCTCTCTGTGGTCTCACCTTCGAGTGCTTGGTTACTCATATAATGGCCACTGGAGGCTTATATGGTCGTTAACTTCAGGGCCCGTGAGATTAGTCGTGGTGCGTGCAAGCTGGCCTGGACACTCACGTTAATCTAAAAAACAATAATAATAATAATGTCCAAAACTAACACAGTAATAAGAGAGATCACAAAATGCCTCAAGAAAATGAAAATCATATACCTTCAACTGCCAACAAGATCATAGATTGTATACAGTAGCATGCAAAAGGACAGTAAATCCACTGGGATTGGCATCCTCCGATGAATCGGCGGCAGCATGTCTATTCCCATCTCAGCGTGAAAGGACAATAAATCCATTGTATGGCTCAGCCGATTGCCATTGCCCCATTTGCCGCTCGAACGCCACTGTACCTCCACCCATTGGTATGACTCACTCACCAGCAGACCGTCTGCTCATATATAAAGTTGATGTCACTCATATCAATTTCTTGATCTTAAATTGACTGAGATTATTAATTTGTAACTTACTTTACATTGCTCCCATTTACTGTTATTGTAGTAACTTCTGTTTTGTTTTTTAAAATGTTTTTTAAATAGTATTTTAATTAAAAATATATTAAATTGATGTATATTAAGTATTTTTTTTGTTTAATTTAATGTGTTAATATCAAAATGAAATATTTTTTTTTAATATATTTTTAATTGAAAAATATTTTTGAAAAATTGCATCACTAATTAAAATAATTCACATGCCTGGTTTTAATGTGATATATACCTTACATATTCTGGAGCACTACAAGAATAGAACACAACATTCAGACAGCTTTCACTGCTACGTAGAACACGAGCATGGACACTGATCACTCCATCTTCATAAATGAAACGTTGAGAGGGGGAAGTAGGAGAGATTAGACAGGGCAACAGTACCGAAATTGGCTAGGCTGGTAATGTTAGGGTTGCCATACGGTGAGCCGCCATGTTCGAGAAGCAAAACGCTAGCGTTTTGGTGGAGAGTGGCAGCTAATGGACAACCAGTAGTTCCACCACCCACAATTATGTATATGATATCGTCAGAGCTGAAGTTGCATTGTCCATGAAAGAGTAATTTGGAGCTGGGGAAAGAGAGTTTAATTAATTAGTGGTGGTTTTTCAAGTAATTAGTGTTGTGCATGAAATTAATAAAGGCTAATATTTATGCTTTGCTAGAAGCGTTAATTAGTTGTGGAGGTCAACTATATGACAGTATTGTATATATTCAACAGCATCTCAAATTAATTTATTGCAAAGTTGTCCTTCAGCAGCAGGGCATAACATTTTCTTCATTTCTTGAATCCTGGGATGCAGTTTGCCGATCATTGTCAAACTTTGTGGGTGTTTTTTCGCCGAAGCAAGAAATCTTTGCACCCGCAGAAGTTATAGCTGTTGAGATTGTTGATTTTCTGCTTATATAAGCACCAAGTTTGCTGGCTTGTTTTTGCACAACAAACCATAATTTAAGTGCTTGTTCATTCAAAGAACGGGTCTTGGGTGGTGCAGATTTTGGTGCTTGTTTCGTCGGAATTCTCTTTCTTCATGGGTTTTGTGCCTCTGATAGAGGGAGGTACTCTGATTGTGTTCTCTTATAGATAAGTCAAATCAATGTTTATGAATAGATTAATTACCTATAAGTAACGATGTTTATCACAAAACATTAATTTTATTGGCTTATTTTTATTGTTATATAATTAAATAAAAAATTATGTTTTCATAAAAAAATATTAAATTTAATGGGTTAATTAACTATGGATTTCATATATTAACTCGAATTTATTAAAGTATTTATTATCCTTTTTAATTTAACATATTTTTTAATTTTTTTTTAATTTTCTGTTGAATGGTCGTGAAACATAAACTCTGATGAGTGAAAAAGTTCACTCCAATGTGATGGAGTGAGCTGCATATTGAAAGCTCAGAAGGCAACCGTCACTGATACCATTGGAATCATCTTTGAGGGATCCATCTTACCTTACCTCACGACACTTGTTGATGAAATAGCTTTAGTTTGACTTTGTCATTTTTATTTTCTTTTCCTTTCTTTTTTTTCTTATCTTCAATTTCCATACCTATATCTTTCCAAATTAGCAAAGAGGACAATTGATTTTTTACTTTGCTGTCATTTTTGTGTTAATTTTTATTATTTTAATTACTATTTTTAAGAAACTTAATTTTTTAATGTGTTTTTTTTTATGAAATTATTCTAATTTCATAAATCACATAATAAATTTAATAAGTTCATATGAATTTTAATTTTGTTTTTTCGTTAATTTTTTTGTTAATTTTATTTTTTAACATTGTTTACGCCAGTTAAAAATTAAACCTTGGGGAAGTTTTTTTTATGAAATTGCAACATAGAGCACTGTATTGCAGGAGCATGAAACTTCATTAGACTGCGATAATGTGAATGAATTAGATAGCTTCTTACAATTTACAAAACTGATGTATTTTACACAAGTATTAACAAAAATAGAAAATCGGCTAAAATAAAAGAGTGAAATTGAAGGGCTAACTAAGGTCCTGAGAAAAACACTGATTGACTGCAAAATATGGATCAATACTCAATAGAGAGAGTTGTAGGTAAAGCAGGTGGCCACAATGGAGGCTACGCAAATCACCAGTGAAGGAAGAAGCGTGACATTTAAGAGCTTACTCTCGCCCAAGTACCCAGCAAGTGTAATCGTGCCATCTGCAACTACACGGGCTAATGTCCCGGCTTCTGTTGAGAGCAAACCACCATTATAGGTTCCGCGGGAAAGCCTGGATGACATGACTCGAGAGAGCAGCGACAAATTGACCCCTAGACGAAAAGCAAAATCCACAAAACTAGGTTAGCAATTAACCTGCTTTGTTGTAACAAGGTAGTTCAATGCAAATGCAAATAGGCCTTGAAGGAAGGCATCAAGTTATCCTTCACGTCTCATCATATTTTATATTCATCCACAATAGTTCTAATAGTTGGACTGTAGGTCTTGAACAAAAATGGATATAACGTATCAACCACTTCGGTGAGGGAATAGTAGAGGTCACTTCCTGTTGGTTCATGGCAATCCCACAAGTTAAAATTTTTAGCTTGTTTTTTCTTCTGATTTGAGTCCACAATTATTTGATTGCTGCAATATGGATTAAAAAACTAAGATATAAGAATAGCAAGGTATATCTTTTCAAAACATGTGTGGAATGTCCCAGAAAAGCTTATGGAGAGCTGCAACCTGACCCATTGTTTGTGCTTTTCCCCTTTTTGAGGAGAACACTGCCCTCCTC